CAGGACACACAGAATTAAAGGGAAGGTGGTGGTGGTGGTGGGAATGACATGCCTACACCTTCACGAGGCCAACCGCGAGCAGTTGTAATATGGGTGTAGTGATGGGTACAATAGTGTTTCCTTTGGGGGTGTGGGGAGGGAAGGGGTGGGGGGGAAGAAAGAGAAGTAAAGGAAAGACTTAATTATTTACTTTTTAAAAATCAGGTATGAATTCGCCATATATCGTAAAGAAACAATCACTGAAAGAAAAAAAAAAAACCGCTTTCTGCCTTTTTTCACTCCACAGGTGGACAACGTACCCGTAAAAAGAGATGCCCTTACACCAAATATCAGATTAGAGAGTTAGAAAGGGAATTCTTCTTCAGTGTCTACATAAACAAAGAGAAACGCCTCCAGCTCTCCCGAATGCTCAATCTGACCGACCGCCAAGTGAAAATATGGTTTCAGAACAGAAGAATGAAAGAAAAAAAAATTAACAGGGACCGATTACAATATTACTCAGCTAATCCACTACTTTAAAACTCATAGCATTTTTCAAGACGAGATTAAATTCAGATTTCGCCCTTGACAAGGTCAAGCCACGGGGTTACGTGGAGGAAGGAGGTGTGTGTCTGACGGGACTAGAAGAATCCAAGGTTTTACATACATGTAAATCTACTCTGGAACTTCAGTGATGATTTTTATATATATATATCTATATATATTTACATATCAACTGGAATCGATTTGGTTTTGACACACATGGCATCCATTTCTAAACGTGCACGTCACCTCTGAGTGCAAAATCCATACCTCTTACCTTCTCCAGGCACTGCGGCTCACCCTGCCACCGCTTTGGGCAGGCACAGGCAGGGACGGCAACCCCTCCATCCCCGGACTCGCCCACCCCCGGCCCCCTCTCGCCCCTGTGCTGCTGCGGAACAGCTGTCTGGAGATCGCCAGGTCGAGCTCGACGCAACCAGGACCACTGCAGAACATAAACTCTGAGAGATAATCTTTTGTTCTTCCTTAGCGGACAAATGTCTAGGTTAGAGTCAGTCAACTCCATTGCCCATGGGTTTGAAAGGAGAATTTAATGGGGAGGGGGGGGACGGGGGACGGGGGGGGGACAGAGGACACACAGAATTAAAGGGAAGGGGGTGGGGCGAGGCCAACCGCGAGCAGTTGTAATATGGGTGTAGTGATGGGTACAATAGTGTTTCCTTTGGGGGTGTGGGGAGGGAAGGGGTGGGGGGGAAGAAAGAGAAGTAAAGGAAAGACTTAATTATTTACTTTTTAAAAATCAGGTATGAATTCGCCATATATCGTAAAGAAACAATCACTGAAAGAAAAAAAAAAAAGATTTAGCAAATTTTAATTAGCTCTTGTTTTATTTATGACAACTGACTATGCGTTGCCATCCTTTCGGAGACAAATCATATTTAAATACTAAAAATAAAACGGCAAAAAAGTGTGATTTTCAGCGTTTTAAAAGAAACAACTCCATAAAGGAAACTAACCTTCTGGCTTCTGGCTCACAAACTTTCTTCAGGAAATACCTGTGGAGAACGACAGTTTAGCAAATACCACACAACACTTAATTGAAACTTGGAGTTGGGCAATGCACTAACATTGGATCATTAAAATAACTCGATCGCATGTTCGTTTAAAGGTGGCTAGTGAGGAGTTTAAACAGAAGCCAAACAATGTAAATATGGTAATTTTGTTGTTGTCTACTTTAAATGTCACGAGCTCTACTTCGTCGCCCAGTCGACATATGCAAAGAATGGAGAGTTGTTCGGAGTTATTTTAAATATCTATAAATATATATATTTCCCTGCAGGAACCAAAGCGTGAAAAAAAAAAAAGCAATTTTAAAAAAGGAAAGAGAAAAAAAAAGGAAAATATTTAAAATTCTATATCAGTTTACAAAGGATACGGTGTTCTATCGTTAAGGTAATTCGTTGTTGAGAATATCTGAATGTATATTTCATACAGGAACGGTGTTTTACAAGACTTGTAAATAATAATAAAAAAAAGAACCCATGACCTATTTTGTTCGAATGCCTTTTTTTTTTTTCCTGATTTTTTTTTTGTTGTTCCTTTGGGGCTAAAGGGTGTGGGATTTCTTTACATGTGCAACAAAGTGGTGATAAGAATGTTTTTTGATTAATAAATTTACCAAATGGATGTAATTTCTTTGACACGTTCACAAAATGCAGTATCTTTATATGACATCACTGATTTCAATATGTATCATCTATGTGTATATACAGTTTTCTTTTAATATGCGAAAGTATTTGGTTGCATGTATACAGTGGAACAGCGCACAAGGAAAAATAAAAAAATGGAAAATTTATATTTTTTACTCTGGTGTTACGTTACTGCATGTTCTTTTACCCGGTGTAACTCTGGGACCCGAAATTCCTCATGACCTTGTTCAGTCATTTGGGGGGGAATTATTCCTCTTTTGTCAACTTCGCCGTTAAACCTTGTCTGCAGTTAACAAGTGAACCTAGGCGTGTTCAAGCATCGTTTCAAGGGGGGGGCACAGGAAAATGAAGTATGTTCATAGCTCGCCACGTCGTAGGCCTTGTCCCATCCTCGAGGGGCTGATGTGACATTGTGCTGTTTGCTCCCCGCCACATGTGCCCAGGAGAACCGCTCGGGAAATTTTTGCGGTGTCGGTACAATTTGGGGCAGATTTTATAAGCCCGACAACTAAAAGGGAAGGGTCAAACCTGGATGTGGCCAGAAGACTGAGAACCCTAAGAAAATTGTTGTCTTGGCAA